CTCAGGCTGTGTAGGGGTCAGAGTTCTTTTATTTGCTTCTCTTTCTGCTCATTGCCTCGCCTCCAGGTGCTTTGCTGCTCATTTCCATTCTTTTGCAGGAAGGGGTAGAACGGGAGGCTAGGTTTCTTAATATTTTCTCTGTGATGATAGAATGACTTGAGGGCCAAGTTATAGGCTTGGTGTGACTGGGGGATAGAGGGTATTTTGGCCTTTGTATTTCCAGTATTCCTTTGTCATTTTCCTTTCCAGTTCTTGCTCTGCCACAGTCACAATTACATGGTTCCTGCAAAAAAAAACAAACAATACCACCAAACAAACCAAATCCCTCTGCTCCCAAAACCAGCTTAACATGTTTCCAGGGCCAGTGTTGTTGGTCTTTATTGCAGTCCAGACTCTTCAAAGTGGTTTGGCCTATTGGATCATTCTAACTGTCGGCCATCTGTGCTCCGCATGCATGCTTTGTGGTCTCAACCCCTGGGGTGCTCAAGTCAGAAGAAGCTACACAGCTAAATCATTTTTCACTTTCCTTTCTCTTTGCAGATTGTTTAAAAACATCTTTTTATTTAAATTACTCACTTGTGTTAATTCTGTAACCCACTCATATGTTGCTTTTTATAGATTTCTGAGTTTCAAGTTCTTAACAACTTGGGGAAGTTGAGTTTGGTGGACGGGAGGACAAAATGTAATGAGTATTTTGGGGACCATGCTTTCATCATATCTTCAGATCATTCAGCTTCTGCACAGCACTTGTATACCTTGGCCATAGTGGAGAAGTTGTTGGTTTATTCCTGGAACAATACTGCATAGAGGCTTCTAGCATTGCCAGTCTGCTCTCTTCCGAGGGTTGGCTTTTTTTTTTTTTTTTTGAGGGTTGGCTTTTTAAAAAATTCTTTTGAGTGGCCTTTGGCTCCATTTCTTCAATAGAGATAATGAGAATATCAGTGAGGAGGAGCCAGTCTCTAGAGGTGCTACATTTCTAACTCTATCTCTATACCCTCCCATACCCCAGCTATGTCAACAGTCCTTGCACATCTGTTGATCCTTCAGGCATTTTGTCCTATCAAGCAAGCCAAGTCAGTGGACAACAGAACAGCATGAATGCATAAAGTCATAGTGAAAACAGGTTCACTAGATTTATGGACTAGCTTTATTTTATTATTTTTGTTTTTGTTTATGGTTTTTTTGAGATCTGTCTGTGTAACAGTACTGGTTGTCCTGGAATTTACTATATAGACCAGGTTGGCCTCAAACTCAGAGATCTGCCTGCCTCTGCCTTCCAAGTGCTAGAATTAAAGGTATAAGCTTCTACTCCTGGATGGACTAATGTTCTTTAATAGAAGTTTGGATAATAGAGAAGATAACACACAGGAAGCTAAATATTTATCTAAATTCTATTTTAAAATGATGTTGAGTTTTCAGAAGAAAATTTCTTACAACTGATATCAGGTCTAACTCCGAGTCATTTGGAACTGTATGTGGAACGTTTAGTTTTGTTAACCTAGAGAAAAACTTGAGAATTCTCTAGTCAGACTTGTCTTTGGTTTACTGAATTTGAATGCTGGCTCTCTGCTGCCTCATTTTGTCAACCAGCATTTTTTTTTTTCTTTTTAAATTTGAGACAGGGTGTCATTATGTAGCAGTGGCTGGTCTGGAATTCAGTATGTAGATCAGGCTGACCTTACCCTCAGCTGTGTGCCTGCCTCTGTCTCATTAGTGCTGTAACTAAAGGCATGCACCACTATAATCAGCTTTTTCTTTTTTATTTTATTAAGACAGAGTCTTCTGTGTCAGGTTGGTCTCCCAACTCAATATGTAGCTGAAGATAACCTTGAAATTAGGTCTTTCTGTCTTCACATCCCAAGTGCTGGTGTTTGGCAGTACCACCATGCCCAGTTTATGTGGTGCTCAGGATTTGAACTGCATGTTAGGAAGCACTCTACCAACTGAGTTGTATCCTTAGTTCTTATCTGACAATGATCAAATTTCTAAGTATTGCTTAAAAAGTCTTTTTTTTTTTAAATCAATGAACTCAGAAATATAAAGAGGTAATACTTTTATTACCAAAAGAGCACACACCCCAATCCCCTGGACAGGGTTTTTCTGTGTAGCCCTGTCTGTCCTGGAACTCATTTTAGACCAGGCTGTCCTCCAAGGCTCTGCCTGCCTTTGCCTCCCAAATGCTGGGGTTAAAGGTGTGAGCTGCCACTGCCTGGTTAAAAGTCATTTTTATATGTTAATCAAAACCAAATGCTTTACCCCTCTTGTAATTATTATTGTAATTATTATCCATAGTCAGGTTGGATGGGGTGAATGAGCACATGACAAGTGATAGTATCATAGTCAGGTATTAAATCTCATCTCAGGGCTACAGAGATGGGTGATTGGTTTAGAGTGCTTTCTGCTCCTGGATTTGGTTCTCGGAACCTACTTGGCAGCTCAGAACAACCCTAATCCCAGTTTTAGAGCATCCAATGCCCTCTGCAGGCCCTGTACATGGTGCACATAAATTCACCCAGGTTCACACATACACATGAAAAGACATTAGATCTGGGCACACCAAAATGACCTGGTGAAGTGCTTAGTTGTGCAAAGAACTTGGGATATAGGTATGAATGCAGCACATACAAGTCACATTAAAATCTGAGTTTTTGTTATGAGTTTTGTTTGCACAGCTGTTATTTAAGCTCCTAGATCACACCAATTTTGGTGCTTCCCCTTCAGTATGTGTCCTAGGATCACATTCTTTGTTTACCGAAAATAAAGTTTACAGTAACAGAAGAGAAATTTGAATGTAAGGGGACTGAGGTGACATGGCTGGCAATGGGGTTGGAGCTGGCACACTTGGTTGGGGTTATCCTTTTGATTCCTATGACCATCCTTGAAGGGATACTGGCTTTTAATTTGAACCTTTGTTGGACTTGTAACTCATTTCTGGACCAGGAACCAGTTATTAGAAGTGTAAATTATTAGATGAATGTGTTGGTTCATGCCTATACTCCTAGCACAAGAAAGGCTAAGGCAGGAGGATCCTAAGTTTGAGGTCAGACAAGAGGCATCTAACAATTTTTTATCATGTTGCTGGGGAACAAACCTAGGTCCTCGCTAGGCAGTCAGTTACTGAGCTACATCCCTAGCCCTGGCAGACAGGATGATTTTTAAAAATACTTCAGGATAATGAGGGGGCTCACTCATTTCAGGTGGGGTGGTGGGGTAAGATAGAGAATTTGAATTAGGTGCCTTAATTTTTTTTTAAAGTGAAAACACCAAGTTTGTATAGTTGTGAATAACATATGTTTGGGTCAATAGACATCAATATGAAGACACAAGCTATAGCTAACCGTTACCTAAGGCTTCATTTTGCTGCATTTGTCAGAGTTATGATAAAAGCCACTTGATTACCAGCTTTTTGGTTTGAAGAGATTGTAAAGTTGTTCTAGGTGATATAGAGGATAAGAGTATGTTTACAGTACCAATAATTTTTTCCTTAGTACTGGGATTTTAAACAAGGACCTCACAGGCAGTGCCTTTATTGAACATATAACCGTTTCAGCCAGCAGCATATCTATGTTACTGAAAATTCAATCCCTTCCTTATGGTTATCAAAAAGTTATATATTAGCTTCTTAGTTAACAAGTATTTGAGTGTCTTTCATGTTACCAAGGTAGTTCCAACATTGGGGCCATATAATATAGAAAATGGACAAGATAGAATTTCAAATGATACTAATTATTTGTGAAAGTAAATAGTTACAAGTTAGGGTCTCTGCCTTTAGATGGAGTGGCCAGTAAAAAATCTGAAGAAAGAATATTCTATTCTGAATAGGTAGAGACAATAAAGTCAGTCTGTCTAGACGGCTGGTAGTAACTAAGGAGACAGAGAATGTAGTAAGAACCTGGATGAGTAGATTTGTTAGTTCACAAGCTTGAATCCCCCTCCCTGTTTTTCTTTTAGACTGAGTCACACTATACAGGTTTGGCTAGCTTGGAACCTGCTATATAGACCAGTCTGGCATTTAACTCAAGTGCTGATATTGTCTGGCTCAGCTGTGATGGATTTTAAATACCAAGGAGAGTATTTGCACTTGGGTCATAGGGTGAGGTCTGGTGGTCTTGATTGTTTGCACACTGGTGGGAATTGTGATCCCTTGAATTGTTACCAGTCTCTTTCCCCTTCAAATCTGTAGAGATTCTAGTTTAGTGGAGATAATTGGTCTTGTTTGCCATTGCAACACCTCTTTCCCCAGGAATTTCAGCATAAGAAAACTTAGATGATAAAACTGAGAGAAAATGACTTCTATACCCCCTGCATTTCTGGGTGCATATTGAGATGTGGTTATTCATGTTAGACCCCCTCAGAAAGGGTCTGTTTAGGACGGTAGAATTTTGTTATTACTGATCTCAGGTGGCTAGTACTCAGTCTCAGGTGCACCAGAATGAAACGAACCATGGCCATATTTAATATTGTGACTTTAAGAGACCTATTTCCCATCCTTAAATTATTGACTAATTTTCTGCTGTTGAACACAGTAGCTTATTTTCTGCCTCTGTCTTCTGTTAGGCCTTTTCTTCTTTTGTGGCAGTTTTGGGTGGTAGTATGCTCTATTTGTTTTTTTTTTTTCTCCTGATCATCCCGTTCTCATGAAGTTCCCCTGCTTTCCGCCTCTTCACAAGTTTAAGTTCTCCATTCAGCACTTTCCCTTTTATCTCCATCTTCAAAAGCTGCTTTGCAAAGGGTCATGACTAAAGTCGCTCGCTTAATGAGTATGGAATTTTGTGAAGCAGCCAGTGAGTGAGAAAAATGTGATGAGGGAATTGGACCCTGTGAAGAATGTTCATTTGTACTTGTTTACAGATGATTGTGACAGCCTTTTTTCCTCAAGGTCAGTTTTAGGGAGTTTGAACTTATAGTTTTGGCTAATGGCGCCCAATAAAACCAAACAAAATCAAACTTTTGCTGTTCCCGTTTTTTGTTTTGTTTTGTTTTTCTCTTGGTGGGGTAAGGTTGGGGTGGGGGGTCAATTTTCAATCTCCATGTCTCACATCTTTTGGGGATGTGGGAGGCTGTTTCCTAGAGGTTTTAACCTCAATGCCTCCTAGGTCTCTGACCAGCCTTTGTCTGGGCCATTATACTGTTATTGAAGCTGGATCCACTAACTTTTAGAGTTTTTAGATCACCTACAGATACTTTTAATTTCGGGATAACTTTGGGACTCAGAAAGACTAAATTGGAAATTGCCCAAAGGGGTTGATTTTTTTTTAAGTAGGGGCAGGATCTTGGCTATTTATTGCGGGAGGTCTGTGTAGGTTGGACTGATGCAGCATCCATGCTGCAGGGCGTGGTGGCACTCAGTTGGAGAGGAATGCGGAATCATGGGTAGGCGACTTGGATCCTGTCAGGGTGTGGACGTGTAAGTGGCAAAATGTGAAAGTTTAACAAAGAGTCACGAAGCTACACATTGCCACACTAAGGCACCTTGCTCATTCTGCCTAATGGCTGGCCGCGCTTCGAAGAATTCCGCGTTTGTAGCTCCTCCCTCAGATGGACCTCTTGCCCAATCAGTGGCTTTGGTTTCACTAGGCTAGGTGCTCATTGGCTGTCGTATAAAAGCTCCCGGGTACTGACGTTTCCACCTCTTCCTGGCCTCTCAGGTAATTGGCGTTCCGGGTAACCAATCAGGAAGAGGATCTCCGGGAACGCCAGCCTTTTACTTTACCGAACGGCCAATCCAGTGGGTAGGTTCACCTCTCTTTCTACCCAGAGTCACTGCTGTGGCCGCCGCCATTTTAGCGTTTTGTCAGAACCGTCTGCGCTGCAAGGAGGAGGACCTGCAGATTTCCATGCGGTGAGAGACTCCACGTTCTTCCACTGTGTCCTTTGCTCTGTTAAAAACTTAACTCTACTCCCTTGGGCATCAGGGTTGTCCTAGTGGGGTCGCGGTGTGCGCACCCGTCCCTGAGAACCGACATCGGTCCTCGACTTAGTGCGGTAAGCCTGAAGCAACCTTCTCCAAGTCCCCACCCCCTGCACCCCCGAACACCTTTCTTTTGCCCACTTTATCCTTTGCTTTGCTCAATCTCCTCCTTTGGTGTTTCTGCCTAGATAACTCTTAGATTTAGACTTGAAAATCTCTCATGCCCCGGGACATTGTTGCCTCCTTACCAAACCGTAGCACCCATCTTTGACCAGGTTTTCTGTAGGATCCTGTAATGACGTGCTCCCCCACTCCCCCCAAAGGATGTCCCCTACTCAGGCACTTTCTATATTTCCCATGCTTTTTATCTAGTTGATCCCAACATTCACTACTACAAATTCCTGAACGTAGTTACTGTAGGGCCCACTTTTCTGGAAATGGTTGCTAAGAGAGGAAGAGATAATTTGAAGTAATTATAATTAGCAAATTAGTAATTAGAATCTTGTTTTCTAATGTCATCACAGTGGGTAGCTTCTCAGTACCTGTAGCTTTTTATTTATGCTCAAAACTTAGAGCGTTATTGCTTTTTTGTCTGAGGTAGGGGATGTATAACTCAGTGGCAGAATACCTGCCTGTGATGTACTGTGCTGGAGGTTTGATCCTCAGCACCACAAAATCCCCTTTGTCTACAAATGCCTACCTTGTTATAGTTTTCCTCTTTTATAGATTTCTTGTGAGGAATAGAAGCGGGGTCTTGTTGAACTCACCATTAGTTATTGTTTGGAGACGTGAGAGCATGCCAGTAGGAGAAAACTTTTGGGGCTGTATGCTAAAGTGAAAGGAGATGATGAGAGCCATTTATTTATATTTGAGGTTTTTTGTTTTGTTTTTTAAAATAGTTGTTATGGACTTGAGATCTTCCCTTAAAAATCTTGTTTCTTTGCTTGCAGGCTTTGTGGAGATGGTGAAGCTGTTCATCGGAAATCTGCCCCGGGAGGCCACAGAGCAGGAGATCCGCTCACTCTTCGAGCAGTACGGGAAGGTGCTGGAATGTGACATCATTAAGAACTATGGCTTTGTGCACATAGAGGACAAGACGGCCGCTGAGGATGCCATACGCAACCTGCACCATTACAAGCTGCACGGAGTGAACATCAATGTGGAAGCCAGCAAGAATAAGAGCAAAGCTTCAACCAAGTTACATGTGGGCAACATCAGTCCCACTTGTACCAACCAAGAGCTTCGGGCCAAGTTTGAGGAGTACGGCCCAGTCATCGAATGTGACATCGTGAAAGATTATGCCTTTGTACACATGGAGCGGGCAGAGGATGCGGTGGAGGCCATCAGGGGCCTTGACAACACAGAGTTTCAAGGTGAATCACTCTTTTGGTAGAGTGCTCAGTACAAGGCTGTTAGGAACAAATTGGATGAGAAAAGGAAGGACTTGGGATGCAAGGATTTTGCTGGCTGATTGAAGGATGGGTGATACACTTGAACAAAAGTTTTTGTTTATTCCTTTATTTGTGTGTGTTTGTCAGCATGCATGTGAAGGTCAGAGGACAACTTGGACAACTTGAATGAGTTTGTTCTCTCCTACCATGTGGGTCCCATGGATGGAACTCAGGTAGTTAGATGACAAGGACTTCTTTACTCCTTAAATGAAGTCCACTGACCCTCAACGTCTTTTTTGTGAAGCCTTCAGAAACAAAATGCAAGAAATGTGTGATAATTTTGTAAAATGAGGAATGATGGTCTAGAGGGGAAAAAAAAAAGCTTGGTTTTTATTTTGAGCCTTTTAAGGCTTTGAACCTGTTTTGAAATCCTTTCTCTGAAGACTTCGCCTGCTGTCCCCCACCCACCCCTGCTTTCGGTCTTGGAGCACATTGCAAAGTGCTTCCCTCTGGTTGTACTGGCTCAACACAGCGTCACCATTGTGTTGCACTTGTAGAGGAAAATCAGGAGAAAACTATATACTTTAGGGACACAATTCTGGGTTGAGCTTACCCTCTTGTCTCAGTTCTTTTCAGTAAAAAATAATGAGCTTTGAAAGTTGTGGTTCTATTTAATTTTGTTGTACATTTGTGCCCAGGAGTTATATTTGAAAAACCATCTAGAATTAGAAGACTGATTTTTTTTTTTGCTTCGTTTTTTGTTGTTTTGTTTTTGTTTTGTTCTAAAGAATCTAGGGAGGAGGCATAGAGATTTGAAGCAGTAATGGCATGTCTTCCAGTTGGTTTCATGTGCATGTAGGGGTTGATTGATTTAGACATATTGTGCTAGTTTATCTATTACCATGGGGTCTTGGTTAGCTGAATTGTTTTTATGCCTGGAGGGCAGCTTCTGTGTTGATGTGCGTTATCATTTGATTTGGAAGGTATTTCGTTTTAAGATTAAAAGTTTCTTGTCAAGAGTGGCATTTAAGCCGGGCAGTGGTGGCGCATGCCTTTAATCCCAGCACTTGGGAGGCAGAGGCAGGCGGATTTCTGAGTTCCAGGCCAGCCTGGTCTACAGAGTGAGTTCCAGGACAACCAGGGCTACACAGAGAAACCCTGTCTTGAAAAACAACAACAACAAAAAAAGAGCGGCATTTAAAAGACTGTTGAAGCTGGGTGGTGGCGGCAAATGCCTTTTAATCCGTCCCAGCACTTGGGACCAGAGGCAGGTGGATTGAGATTGAGGCCAGTCTGGTCTACAGAGCTGTTCTAGTACAACCAAAGCTACACAAAGAAACCTGTCTCAGAAAACCAAAAACCAAACAAAGAAACAAAAAAAAAGCCTAGAACACTTTCAACAAAAAAAGTTGGTTGACTTGCCTGCTGAACTTTCAACTCCTCTTATCCTTTTAGGTTCCAAGAGTCAGAATCAGTTTTTGAACTTGCAGATCACAGCATAGTCCTGTAACTCATAGCTATGTTTCTTTTAAAGAGGAAGAAGAGGAGGAGGAGGAGGTGGAGGAGGAGAAATACACGCACACATACAAAGATTTTGAAATATTTGTGTGGCCTCTTGAGGTCAGAAGAAAAGGATGTCAGGTTCCCTGAAATTAGAGTCTGGTGTTTGTGAGCCATGTAAAGATAGAGGTGCTAGGAATTTAACCCGGGTCCTTTGGAAGAGCAGGAAGTGCTCTTAACTGCTGAGCCATTTCACCAGACTTATAATTGTATTTCTTCTTTTAAAATCATGAATATAACTTTATGCGTGTGATTGAATGTGTGTTGTGTATGTGCATACCATATGTGCAGAGCCCCCAGAACTGTAATTTCAAATCTGGGTTCTGGATGTTTTGACACAAGGTAGTGGCTGTTCTTTCTTCAGTGCTACTTCTGAACAGTGCTTTACTGCCATCGTTGTTCAGTTCCCTTAAATGTTTCTGAGAGTCTGACTCCCCCACCTTCATGGGACAAGTGCCCTGTGTCATGGGCATTGCTGTGTATTATTAAAAATGTCACAGGTCTCTCAGGTCTAGTTTGCTTTCCTCTTTTAATTGGCAAGCTGGGAGTTATTTTGTCAACAACTTAATTGGAAGCAAAGCTTTTGTGGAGGGTTGTGGTAGGATGCTTAAGTTTTGGAGACTTTTCAGCACTTTAATCACACTTTAAGTGTGTGCTGGTGGCAGTTCCATGTGTCGTACATGTACAGTGTGTTGTGTTTGAGGGCAAGTGTTCTTGTAACTACATTTCTGAAACTCTGACTCTGATATCGACCTGTCTGGCTAATTTTACACCATTTCCCTTAATATATTTTTAGAAAGTGGTATTAGAGATGGATGGAGCCCAGGGCATTCCACATGCTAGTAAGTGTTCTGCTGCTGAGCCACAACTGGAACAATCTCTTCGCCCCTCCTTTCTTCATTATATTACCCAGGTTGGCCTTAAACTCCTGGGCTCAAGCCATTTCCTGCCTCCAGCCTCTTCTAGGTGTGTGTCCCCAAACCCCTAGCGTTACTGTTTCATTTCTTAATCATTGATGAAGCCTTTGTGTTGAGTAATGTTGCTTACCGGACTGATCTTTTTTCCCCCCTTTCAGTTTATTATAATCTGGTATATTATCTTTTATTTGCCTACTTGAAGAAAATTAATTTTAGATTTTAAAGATTTAGTTCCTCTTTTGGTCACCAGAGTCCACAGTTATTAGATCAGGGCATTTATCAAATACTTTCATGTCTTAAATATGTCTGTTAGTTTTTTGGTAGCATGCCTTTTCTCTAATTTGTTATGTACTAAAAAGTAGTCTCCTGGGCAAATGCCAGGGTAGTTGTTATGGTTTGTACATACTAATTGCCTATCTTCTTTTGATGATCTGCAGCCTAAATTTATTGAGATTTATTGATACTGTATTTTGTTCCCCTGCTCCCTTTTCTAATTTTTTAGAATCTAATTTTGACTTTGCATGAGAGACTATTTTTACCACTTTCTCTGCTGCTGGAGAACGCATCTTTCTAGTTACTGGTCTTTGTTTTGTTTTGTTTTGTTTTGTTTTGTTTTGTTTTGTTTTGTTTTCCAAGACAGGGTTTCTCTGTATAGCCCTGGCTGTCCTGGAACTCACTCTGTAGACCAGCTGGCCTTGAACTCAGGGATATGCCTGCCTCTGCCTCCTAAGTGCTGGGATTAAAAGTGTGTGCCACCACTGCCTGGCTCTTGTCACCTTTTTTGAAAATTATTTTTTATTTTTATTTTGTAATCAGTGCCTGTATGTATGTATATGCACACATGCCTGGCACTGTGTGTGTTGTCAGAAGAGGATGTCAGGTCCCCTGGAAATGAATTACAGGTGGTTGTGATCTGCCACATGAATGTTGGTTAGAACCTGGCTTATCTGGAAGAGCAGCCAGCTAGTGATCTTAACCTCTGCATCATCCTTCAAGCCTGTTCATCTTTTAAGATGGGTGTTTGGTGCATTGTATGTCATTACATTGTGAAGATTTTGCTGGATTTAGATCCCTTTTGAATTCATTTGCCAGTAAATTGGTTGATGTGATTAGTAGAAGTTTCTTAGTTGAAAGATAGAGAATTTAGTTTTAACTTTTATCCTAAAAGTTATTGCTTTTCTTTTATTATGGCTTTTAGAACTATTTTTCATTTTTGGAGCACATTCTTAGAATTTCATTCACATTCTTGGTTTTTGAGACAGGCTATATGTAACTCAAATTGGGTTCAAGCTTTAACCATCCTCTATCTATCTCAGCCTGAGAGTGCTAGGAATAAGGCATGTGCCACCATGCCCAGCTGTTTTCATCTTCTCTCTTATATGAGAAAGCACTTTAATTTTGCTACTCTGAGCAGTTTATTTCACTTAACATTGTTGGTTATTCTTTGTACCTTTCTCACCCTCTTTTATTATTAAAATGCACTTCCTGTGTGTGTATGTGTTGACAGCCTGCCCAAATTTCTTTTGACTCTCTGACTTAGAGAACCAAATTTTGGAGTATCCATATTAGGATGATTATCAGATGAGAGATAACAGTTTAAAAAGACTACTTCTAACTTATCTTGTGTCCCCAGACTTAACTCATGGCTATTCCAAAGATCTAGCTTGAAACTTGCTCCCAGGCTCAGCTTTGGAACAAATCCTCATCATTCTTAAGTGATGGTAACTTTGATTTTGGGGTATTGATACATGCATAACATTGGCTCAGAATTTTTTGCTGTTTAATGGAATCAGTCTTGATACAGAAGTTGAGAGATTGGAGTGCTCTAGCTTGAGTCTTTTCTGGATTGGGCCACTGGGATAGGTATTTGTCCAGACGGCAGTGGATGAAATCTCCTTTTCTGTGTAGGAGTAGAATTCTTAGTAAATTGGTGTCAGTGGTTATAATATTTCTTCATCTGCTTGACCTTTGCTTGAAATCAGGTAATTTATACCAAATTCATAATTTGGGCGTCTCCCTCCCCCAAAGGAAGTCTTTTTGTCAGTTTGCCACACATCAAGAGTTGTTTAGGTGACCAGTGGCTGGGGTAGGGGTTTGGGCTATTACTTTGTGATAGCAACCCTTCTTGCGTCTGTTTCTTCAAGGCAAACGAATGCACGTGCAGTTGTCCACCAGCCGGCTTAGGACCGCGCCCGGGATGGGAGACCAGAGCGGCTGCTATCGGTGCGGGAAAGAGGGGCACTGGTCCAAAGAGTGTCCAATAGATCGTTCGGGCCGCGTGGCAGACTTGACTGAGCAGTATAATGAGCAGTATGGAGCAGTGCGTACGCCTTACGCCATGAGTTATGGGGATTCATTGTATTACAACAACGCGTACGGAGCACTCGATGCCTACTACAAGCGCTGCCATTCTGCCCGGTCCTATGAGGCAGTGGCAGCTGCAACTGCCTCTGCATATAATAACTATGCAGAGCAGACTTTGTCCCAGCTGCCACAAGTCCAGAACACAGCCATGGCCAGTCACCTCACCTCCACCTCTCTCGATCCCTACAATAGACATCTGTTGCCGCCTTCAGGAGCTGCTGCAGCAGCAGCTGCTGCTGCTGCTTGTACTGCAGCTTCTACTTCATATTACGGGCGGGATCGGAGCCCCCTGCGTCGCGCCACAGGCCCAGTCCCCACTGTTGGAGAGGGCTACGGTTACGGGCATGACAGTGAGTTATCCCAAGCTTCAGCAGCTGCTCGGAATTCCCTGTACGACACGGCCCGGTGTGAGCGGGAGCAGTATGCGGATCGGGCTCGGTACTCGGCCTTTTAAAGTGTGAGGTGAGAGGTGGGGGGTCGCCTGTTGGTTTTGCCATCCCTCCTGTGGCCCAAAAGCCTCCATTAGGCTGCCTCGATTGCTTGCTACTGCAGGGCTGGGGTGAGGCTACTAGCATGGTTCAGTTATAGACAAATCTTTAAATACTGAAGTTTAAGGTAAATATCCTTTGCTCTTGTGCCTATTTTTTTCCAGGGCTTTTAATAGTAGGGTTCATTCTCATTGTAATTGTGTCTGGAAGAACAAACAGTGGTACACTGGTGACTCTAGAGTTAAACTGCATGTGGTAGTCTGATCTGGGATCCAGACATTCAGTCTTAGGTGCACTGCTTTTCAGAGTCTATTGAATTTCTTAGCTGTGAGGCATTAGTTTTTTCAAGTTGCCGTGATCCATTATGCTGTGAAAGGGTCTAACCACTAAAGTTTGTAATTAGTTAACTGATTATCGTTCAAGTCCTATGAAGATCTACAAAATGACATCATCTTAATCTTAAATATATTTCTCATTCCCAAAGGTCTCTTTAGTTTTAGGCATTTAAAGAACTGAGAGATAAGTTGAGGCAGAAAATAGTAGAAAACACACTTCTCAGAGTAAGGAGTCTGGCATGAACTTCAAAGTCCTACTCAGTCCAGCTTCATGTCCTTAGGGGCTGCTTTTGTTATCTTATTCTCTTGTGTTGTAGCTTCTTATTTTATTCAGATTTTTAATTTTTGACCCTGGATTTGACATCTTCCATTTAAGGTAATATGGCAATATAAGTCTGTGTGCATACTTGTGTTTATTCTTTGGTAGTTTTGAAATCTAGGATTAGGAACTATACCATGAGCACATCTTATTCATTAAGGACATTTCTCAACAATATCACCTGTGTCCATGACCATGACAGGGTCTAAGTTTGTAGCATAACTTGGCCTTGAACACAATTTTGGCAGTCTACTTTCAATCTTGAGTGCTGAAATTATAGGTGTTTACCACCATGGTGGTGCTTCCTGTTTTGACTATATTCTCTTTCGATGCTTCTTGTCTGTTTTGGTCTGTAGGGTTTTTTGTTTGTTGTTGGTTTTTGAGATTGCTGTTATACTTGGTACTTCTCTGTTAGTTTTGTGGAGCCCTGCTGTGCTCCTGATATTGAATGGACCCTTGTCGTCTTTCATGTTAGTGCAGAAGGCGTGTGGCTGGCTCAGGCCCGCTGGATAGGAGATGACTGAATGGGTTCATTTGACTAGGAATGTGCTGGAAGAGAAACTTAAGTGACTTGATGTAGCTTATACCTTCTTTTAAAAGTTGATGTATAAACCTTCAAACATGTCCTGTGTCCTTGGCAGTAATTCTTACATTGAAACATACTGTTTGTTAACTTTTTACTCCAGAGGCTAATTGGAACTTTCTGGTTTTTTTTTTCTATTCTGTGATGAGTTTTCTATTCTCTGATGAATTACTTTATTTTTGAAATGCTAATAATGTTAACATTGAAAGTAATAGAATGTCTTCCTACTACCATGAAAGAATTGCTGTTTAACTTGGAGAAAGGCCTTTGTTGGAGACTATTTAGCCTTCCCAATGATTCTCTGACCTTCAAATTGTTCTCATTTTTAGAAATTGTTGATACTAGGGAAGGGTACAAGTAAACTTAAAAGTGAGTATAGTATGAAGGTTTGACTTTGTAAGATGTTCTTTGAAGTTCTAAGTGGGAAAGCTCTTTTGAGTTTTGCTGTAAAGCCCCTGTACTGTGCTCTCTTTCAGGTGGGATGTGTGTGGGCTGACATTCCAAGCTGCGGTTGTGCATGAGAATACACCCTCCGTGGTACCCCATCTCCGGGATGTTCTCGGCTCTGTGCATTCAATCCCTCAGGAACCATGGACCTTAATTTACCTTGTGAAGTTCTTTGTCTTTCCTATTCTCTCTCCTGCTCAACTTCCTGTTTTCCTGTTTATTCTTCTGTAGCTTCCCACTCGAGTTCTGTTCTCCCAGCATGCCTCCTATGCAGAAACTGGTAGGGGCTGTGTTGTCTTCCCTGCCTCCTGACTGCAGTAGGTATTGGATTTGGGAGTAACCTTGATGAAAATCACTGCTCCTAGTTTTCCTTTTTGGCCCAAAGATTAGACTTAGAAATTTGGAATACTTTCCAGTGAAATAAATGGTTTTTCAAATTAGGGTATGTGTGCTTTGAGAAAGTTCTTGTTTGGGCTTGTTTCTGGGTTCTTTGTTTATCTGTACCCTGAACAGAAGATGGGGGAGTGTTTAAAGTTGAAGCTACTTAGCTTTGGCTAACACTGCTGAGGTTTTTAAGTTTTGCTTTTTAAAATAGTAGATGACTTTACTAAATAAAAAAAGAGGTTATACAGAACTCAAGTAGGCATCTTTGTTTCAATGAAGACATTTCCTACTGGTCTCCTTTAGTTAAAGCCAGTTAACTAGTGGTTTAGAGCTATAGATGTTTACTTGCTGGAGAAATATTCATTGTGTATGCTTGCATCTGCTGTTAACACTCAGTAAACATATCTCCCTTGACTTATTTTCAGGAAAAAGGTGAAGGTTTGAGGAAGAAGAGGTAGCTTTCATCTTTGGGAAAAATGAAGGTATGGCTCCCACCAGAGTATATTTAGCTACTCCATAGGCCAGAACTACCTCATGATGCATTTCACTATTTGTATAGTTCTGCCAAAATCAAGAGACTACACGAGTAATTCCACAAGCATCTTGTAGCTTGTTCCTAATGGCTTTAGATGAGGTATAAAGGGCCCAGCAGCTCCTTTATAAGTGCTTGATAAGCTTACTGAGTCTTCCACAGTGAGGACAAGTATTTGAATGCAGTGAGGAGCCACTGTCTTAGTGTCATGTTTTTATTAAAACAGTTTTATCTTTTCTGTTTTAACATATATAGGGTCATGTCTCAGAATCATTTACTTGGCTACTACAGGATGCCTATGTTATGCCAGGCATGCTTTTAGTAAAGTGCTTACAAATGATAAAAGGAAGTAAAGATGACAGAAAAGAGCTGCTTTTGTCTTGGGCGACTTCAGGTTTTTCTACTAGCTGCTTCTGTCTATCTCGTTGATTCATTCTAATTTATAGACAGCTGGGATTGTGACAGCTGTCGGTGGACAAAGATAATTTTTTTGTAGTGTGAGACCCTGTGCTAGGTGATGTATGTGTTCTTCAGTCTTTCCAGGAAATGTTTTTCTTAGCATATGTTTCCTTCCTGGCTGAATTGGTTTTCTTTGCCACTACCTTGGAAAGGTTCATACCTATGTTGGTTCCTCTTTCTTTAATAGATAGATGTGATTACTGCTGTGCTTTTACAGTTTTAGCACAATTTCTTGATGTGATGGTTGGGAATGGCACAGTCTCAGAGGATAGAGACTTACTATTTGTTGATTTAACAGGCTTGAGGATACTTTCACAGATGGTGACCCAGGTGCTGGGGATTTTAGAGCTTTTTGGGGGGTACTTAGGTCTGTTTATAGTGGTGTATGCCTTTTTTCTAGCATTTGCAAAGCAGAGACAGGCAGATCTCTTGAGAGTTCAAGGCCAGTCTGGTGTACAGATTGAGTTCTTAGGGAGTCAGAACTTCAGACTGAGACCCAGCCTCAAAAATAAGATAAAAGTGCATATCAAATGGAACATCCCATCTGAATGGATTATTTTTATTGACTTGTTAGGATAGCCTTGGTGATTTCTTACCATGTTGCTCAGGTAATCCTCCTGCCTCACCTTCTGAGTAATTGGAGCTAAAGGTGTACAAACTACATTGTGCTCTACTTTTTACATTATTAAAACATTCAAAGAGATGAAAATTTACCTGACTCATCTTGCTTTTTGTTTTAAGAGACTGGTTCCTTTAACAGCTTAGCAATGTTTTCATCACTCAGGTGTGGGCTGGCTCAGAACTTTTTTTAAATAAAAGATATGCTTTTGCTACGATGTACCCAAACTGGTTCTGAACTCTTACTCTGCTTCAAATAGAAGGCAAGCCTGATGACTTGGAACCCATTTGGTGGAGAAATAACTTATACACTGTGTTCTCTGACATCACGTTTACTCTGGCACACATACACACATACACAAAGAGAAAGGGAGAAGCTATCGGCTGAACATGATGGCATACTGTTATAATCTCAGCAGCACTTGAAAGTGAAGTGATTGAGAGTTCAAGGACTAACCATGTTACCTAATGTGGTTCAGCAAACAAAATTCTTCTACTCATTGACTTGCTGGAAAAATAAAGTGCAGTGGGAAAACAGTGAATTGAAAATTAATGAGTTGTGGCTACAGATGTGGCTCTGTTGATAACATATTCAGCATGCTTGATTAGGCCCTGGGCCTAATCTCTAGCACTTGTAGAACTACTGATAGGGTAGTGTACTTACGTAGGTCAGCACTGGGGAGGTGAAAGCAGGAGTTCCAGGTTATATTTGTAGCTATGCAACCAGTGAGAGCAGTGTGGTTTTCAGCTTTCTTAATGCTGAAACCTTTTAACGCAGCTTCCAATGTTGTGATGACCCCAATTATAAAATTATTATTATTATTTTTTTTTTGGTTTTTCGAGACAGGGTTTCTCTGTGTAGCCCTGGCTGTCCTGGAACTCACTCTGTAGACCAGGCTAGCCTCGAACTCTCGAACTCAGAAATCCGCCTGCCTCTGCCTCCCAAGTGCTGGGATTAAAGGCGTGCGCCACCACCGCCCGGCATAAAATTATTTTTGTTGTGGCTTCGTAACTAGTTTTGCTAGTGTTATGCATCGCACCGTAAATATCTGATCTGAGACCCGTGAAAGGAAGGCTCTTCTGACACAGCGGGGTTGTGATCTACAGGCTCAGAACCAGAGTTAGAGGCCAGCCTGTACTCTATGAGACCCTGTCTCAACAATTTGTAGAAACTGACCACAACTGATTTCTAGCATTAAAGTGGTTTGAAACTATTTTAGTACATATTTCCAGTTAAGTGAGTGAGCATTCCATGAGGCTACACTGATGTGTAAGTAGACAAGGGTAGTACTGGCGTGACTTACCTCAGGAGTCTGTTTCAAGAAGAATGCTTTAATTAATGGTAAACACATTTTCCTTAGCACTCTTTTGCTATTTCTTTATCACTAACATAATGAGCATCTGTGAGCTGGCTCTGGACTCCTATTTACCATGTATGGAGTATGTAGAGAATGCATATCAATAAGGCACCAAGCCTAATCTCACTTTGCCTCCATTAGCTGCCTCGCCCCTGCCCACATGTCCTCCAGTCTTGAGTATACAGAGATGTGGTCTGTCCTTGGAGACTGGGTGACTGGAGTGGTCACACTATTTTGTACTGAAGGTATGATCCATTCTGGTTCTAAGTGGTTCAAAGATTCTATCAGGGTAGTCAGGGAGCTCTTAAGTAGTGGTAGACATTTTGTTTTTGGCACTAAGGTCTCTTCATAGGGCCTCATGAAGACTCAAGAATATGCTCTTCCTCTGAGGTATACCTTGTACACACTAGACCAAGATTGACTTTGAAGGTTTTTAGGAATCTTCAGAAGCAGGGTTGAGTTGGGTAAATGCCAAGTTCAACCCTCCTTAGAGACTTGAGGAGTACGGAATAGTGTGAGGTGTAGATGATGGGTTCTGTGGGAATTAAATGCTATTTTCAATTGTTGAGTTTAGTTTTCTCAGTTCTCTTAATACATGAGGTCACACTAAGATAAAAGCTGACTTCCCAGAATGATGGTAGTGCAGTCCAGGAACTTGTCTCTAGTGCACTTAGAGAATAAGCAGGCTTATTAGGTTGAAGCAGGAGAGTTTCATATGTCTCACAAAGTGTTTAAACATTTTGAAATTCAAAGTTCTTTTTAAAAGTTGAATTATCAAGTACAGATTTTCTTTTCTTTTTCTTTCTTTTTTTTTTTTTTTTTTTTTTTTTTTTG